GTGTGTGTGTGTGTGTGTGTGTGTGTGTGTGTGTGTGTGTGTGTGTGTGTGTGTGTGTGTGTGTGTGTGTGTTGGGGTCAGTTTGTGTGTGAGGAGGTTAAAACCACGCTTTCCCAGGCCCACACAATGCACTCTAGGGGAGGTGCACACATATGAGGGGCCCCTGTCTGCCACTATAGTCTATGTCTAACACACACATCAGCACAGGGGTTCGTGTGTATTCCAAACACCAGGATCACTAGATTCTAGGATGAAGACAATGAGGTTGTTAGGTTAGATTAGTTTAGGTTTAACATGATGTCCAGTTTAGCTTAAACATCACAGGGGTTTTGGCACAACTTTACCTACTTTCAACATTCAAGTGGGAGAGCAAGGGTTGGGAAAAAAGCCTAGGGGTCAACTGTAAGAACATGTTTAGGCAACTAAAACCATGGCTGTAGTTCTGACGTCTTTAGGATCGATTAAAGACAGGTAACGTTTCCAAATTAGGTTAATCCACCAAAGGCTCCACAAGATGCTATGGCTTTCTCCGCACTAGTTGTTCACCTTATTGGCTCTGGTAAGCCATCTATAACGGGTTTACCTGGGCTGCTATATCTAAAAACAATCAGGAAGGACATGAATGTAACAGATGTCAGTGTATGTGTAAAAGGCCCACACTGCAGGCTTTAGGTTAGTTAAAGTTACAGCGTGTAAAATCTCACTGCTCAATGTTAGTGAATTTAGTACCCCTTTCAATTCAAGTTTATGAACCTAACTACTGTAGGACAAACATTTTAGTCAGTCGAGAGATCAAAAACATTAAATTTAGACTACACCCACAACAGCGTTTCTACTTTTTGTATATAAAAATCATTTTTGCATATACTGTATTTTAACAATAACAATTAGCAATAAATCAGGATTATAAAATGGATTTGTGTCAGTTAAACATATATTTTGATGACCACCTCAAATTCTGGCCACTGTTCAAATGCAGTGAGTGGTGAGTGTAGGTTATCAGTCTGCCGTTTACCTCAGCTGCCAGTGTGTGTACATGTGTATTTGCTCTGGAGGAGGCTGTAAAACTTTGAGAAAGGAGTCCGATAGGAGTCGATGAGCCAGTGAAGTTCACTTCTGTCTGATAAAAGCTATAATGAGGAAAATTTTGAGGATATCCTGAGCTTTTCTGTTGGTAAAAATGCTGTTTTTACCGCTGTTAGTGAAACTTTCTTAGATGTGGATCTAATATTGTTGGACATCGTATGAATAAATTAATATATGATGTGAGAATGTAATCAAATTGCTTATCTGACACTTGAGCCTTACATTAGCTGGGATGTTAGCTTATAACCAGCTGTTGCTGCTGTTTAGCCATTTATGCACATCTTGTGTTAGAGCTCTGACTTTGATGCAGGAGATGAGGCCTACGGTGAGGTGGAATAGGATGAGGTAAAAATGAGGGTGGAGATGTAGTAGTAATGCAGGAAGCAGATGATGAGGAGAAAAAGATGACAATATGCACATGCTAATGTAAGTGTTTGATAAAGCTATTTAACTAAAGTAATTAAAAGTTGATTTCCTTTGACTTAATTGTTTTAGCTCTATTTATGAGTAATCACTCAGGAAGTCACAGGTTATATGTGTGAGGCTTGTCAATATGTTTTCAGGTTTATTTTATGACTCATGAAATCCTTAAGTATAGATACTCAACACTTCTCTTTGTCTCTCTCTTATTAGCACTTGAGTGCTATGAGACTTTATTTTCTCTCAGGTTGCTTTGTGAACAAACGTCACGCTGAACTGACACCCGCTGCCTACCACAAACGCTCCTGCATCACTTAAGTGTGAAAACTAACAGAGCAGTTTTATTGCACTTTACATTAGAATTATACTTCATTCAAAGAAATGCTTATTTGAGGCAAAGATGGCTCACTGTAGCATTTCAGTAGATGGAAAAGACAAAAACAAAAGCTGCATGAGTAATTGGTCCTAAAGGTATTTTACCATAAGGATATAACAGTACTGAGCAGATGATTCTCTGTTGTTTGTACCACCCATGAAAGGTGTTGGATGTCCCAGTCAGAGCCTCACATTCCCTGTTAGGTTTGTGAAACCTTAGAAGTGTTTCACAGCTTTTTTTTTAGCTTTCACCCCTGAATCACAATCATTCTTAACAAAGATGTTGTAAAGATGGTTAAAAGCTAAAAGCCCACAAACAGCCCAGCTGGCCTCTAATAACACAAGCTGCTGCATATGAATATAGTGTCCTCACCCCTTTAGGACTGAAAGAGGAAGAAATCTCACACTGTAATGACTTAAGACCACTTAAGACTGCAAACTAAGGCACTAACCTATAATGGCTTTGCAACCAAATGAGTTAGTGACTCTGATAAATTAAAATGCTCCCAAATACTTTTCATATCTTCCCTGTATAAATTTATTTCATTTTTGTCTTAAGTATATGATCATTTTAATAGTATTTCAGTAAACTGGAATATCATTTCAAACTTACTTTTAGTTTAGTTGTAGCCGACTACAACAGCCTTCTGAACATGTAAATATATAGACAGCTTTCCAGTGTGCATGCATATATTCATTATAAAGGAACATCAATGGATAGAGTATTTGTGAAATTGAATATTTTAAACCCACATTGTTATTTTGTTCTACTTTTTCCAGGGTTATCACAATTTTAATGAAGATATTCCAATATGGTATGCCAAATTTAAAATATATTAGTCACATGGATGGGTTTTGTTTCTCAAAGCAACAACCCTGTGTAGAATAGAAGCCACAATGAACATGAGGTTATGCACAATGTATATTTTTCCTTCTGAGTTATTATTCAAGATGATCTAAAACATAAATATGAAACCCAGACACAATGTAGAAAGCATAGCACCTAACCGAACCTCCCTCTGGCCTATTAGCAGTAATGTTTTTAGCGTGAGGTTGCATGTAAATGAACACAGTACATGCAAAAACAAATAATGCCCTCCCAACAAAGTCTTGGTAACTTTCATCGGTAAACTAAACAGACTCGCTTCGTCACATCTCTCTTTTATTTAAAACATTCCAATAAAGAAGGGAGAAAAAAAAAAAATTCAGAGTTGCTTTATGTTTTAAACATTCATCGTTTTGACTTCTATGTACAGTTTACATGGTGGAAGGTTCACTGCAGAGATTTCCAGTCACAGGTTTACTCGATCTACGCCTTTGGGCTTGCTTCAGCCTAAAGTATGTATCAATACAGTTAATATTTTCATAAAAAGGCACTAATGACAGGCTAGTGTACAACATATTATAAAGAACTGTAATTCAACAGGCGTCAGCAAAAAATCATAAATAGCTTTTGCCTTTGGCTGTGATCAAACTGAGCTCAATCACTGAAAGAATTTACATATTAACATTTTTTTCTATTACATATTAAGGCTCAATAAATACAAGCACTTAAAATTAAAAAAAAAAATAAAAAATTTGCACAATCATCAAGTTTCACAGGAATGTAACAAGAGTCTGCAACAAGGCTGCAACAGTTTATATAATATGGGAAGGGGGGGAAGCCACCAACAGGTCACGAGCATGAAAACACTTAGGTGTGAGCAAATCAGGAGATTGTTCCTTTGACCCACGAAGCTATGAAACTCATTGTGTAGTTCATTATCAAGCAGTTTGCCACCTTGCCAATTTACAGCAGGTCTGCACATTGAGATTCAAAATGAAATGGGGACATTAATCACACTAAATTTCAAAATCCAGCTCTTCAGAGCAAAGGTTCCTTTCAATGTAATTAAGATTTAAAAAAATAAAAAATAAAAATAATAATACACACACACACACACCACAGGAAATGAGTCTGTCCATCTTCCTGAGAAGATGGCCTGAAGCACCATTCAAAAGCAGGCATCACTTAGAATAGCACCAGTGAAACTCCCAGATATGAAATGATTGGTTTTGGTCTGAAAAAGAACCAGTCTAAGGAAAAAGAAAAGCCACGACAGCTGCTGCACATCTGTGGGCTTGGTCAAGCTAAAATCAGTTTTGAAGTAGCTGCTGCTGATTCAGACCAACATTTGCTAATTGTATATGTATTAAATATATTTAAAAAAACAAAAAACAAAAACAAACTTAAAGTTAGGTAGCCTGTGAGCTGCATTCTCTGACCATATCAAAGGAGTCAGACCTGAATGAAAACGTGAACACGCTGATCTTAGCCTTCGTCACCTTTAACCACAATACTGTTGGCAGGATTGTCAACAGGGACAAATCCCAATATTTTACAGCTGAACATTGTCAATTCATCACCATGGCTACTAAAAGTCTGATCTTAGTGTTTAAAAAAACAAAAAAAAACAAAAAAAAAAACCCACACAACACACAAACAGACCCAACAACACACGCACACACACACACAAAGCTACATGAGGTCAGTTTGCCCAAAATTGTGCATCATTCAGCAAGTGGCTCCTATCGGACTAAGGAGAGGTAGCACGTCTCTCTGGTTTTGTCCTGGTCAGGGATTGGGTGGCTTCTCTGTGCTGCTGGGTGGTGTCAGAATTGGTCCCGCGGAAACAGGCGATAGCTGACCGGCGTTACTCTCAGAGAACATACACTCCTGAGCCATTCTCTGCAGGAAGAAACAGTTCCATGTTAGTAATTAAAATCACTTTATCATATACTTTAAGCTCCTAGGACTTGGCGTCCACATATGTGGACATCACATTTTGGGTTATTTAGACCAAAATACTCAATTTTTGCTCTACAAGGGCCTGATATCCACTTACGAGGACATTATACTGCTACTGTTCTATCAAAATTTTAAACGAATATCCTCAGATGTGGCTCTTATTTTTCTTATAAACAAAAATCAGGTTTAAAAATTTTTTTTTTTAAAAAAATCTGGTAATTCTTTGTTTTTACATTGATCAGGCCCCAATGTGACCAAATATCAAAGAGAAAATAAAAATGGAAGAGCCGTGGAAGAGTTCGGGTCTTAGGAGGTTAACAAAAAAAAGACAAAAATCTGTCCAGTAGGGCTGCACAATTTTGCATAAAATGAGAATCATGATTTTTTTTTTTTGCTTAGAATTGAGATCACGATTTTCTTTTCCAATATAAATATTTATTGCACATCAACTTCGTAACAGTTGAGGCCGAACATAAAAACAACAAATGTCTCACATTTTGTCGTTGCCGCAAAATGTTGTACTGCTTGCAATTCTGTCTCCACCGTTGCTCGACACTGCGTGTATAGAGCAGGTAGTGCAACAATAGAAAAATAGTTGCGGGACGGCACTGTGTAGCGTTTGTCTAGGGCGATCGTTTTCCTAAATCCCTCGTTTTGCAGTGTTGATGGGAGCCATATCTTTAGCCAGGCGATAAGTGATAGCCTCCGTAATTTCTTTGTGCCTGCAGGAGTTCGACAGGTATGGGGAAGCGCTGTATAAGGTTCCCGTTATTGCTGGTTGGGTGGTTGACTGGGACGGATTTTCTCCTGTCACTTTCTCCTCATCTCTCATGTGCTCTCCGTTGTTTTTTTCCCCTGCCAATTTTAGCAGCCAGCTGGCTTCTGTATCACGTGGTATAAGGCTCCGACCTTGTCATTTGTTGAGTAGGAAGAGTGAGCGCTTGTTTTCATGCAGATTATGTCCCGGATCAAAATGCGGTACAATAGTCTTTTTTTTTTTTTTTTTTTAAAACATAGTTGTCATTTGGAAATGAGATCGCACATAAGTATGAATTGAGATCGTGATTTTCTAACGATTAATTGTGCAGCCCTACTGTCCAGTCAGTCATAAAATCAAATTTCAAAGCTTTCATGTCATTGATGGATGAACACATGTAGCCGGATTAAGCAGTTTCCCTAATGATCAAATTTGCCAATTTATACCAAGCAGACCCTGAATGATCAGGCAAGTTTTTAAAAACCCGAGTACCATTTTTACCAGGTAAAAGCCTGATATTGGTGCCTTACTTTTCCAGCGACAATAACAATAAGTGTTACACTATGGTAAAACAATTTAAGTGGCCTCAGTTATATTCTTTCTTTCCCTTTTTGGGCTCGAGTCCTCCACCGGTTCTGTAGAAATATGTGAAATTTAAGCCAAAGAATTAACAACTCTTTCAATTATATAGACTTATATATAAGGCATGCATTGCTCTAAGCTCTTGCAAGGAGGCTTCTATATAGATATTTAACTACACTTTCTAACCCTTTTAAAAACATTCAAAATTGTGTATTACTTTACAGTGATACTAATCTTGCATTTCAGATTCTGAGTTTTCTGTCTACTTTTTCTTACCAGTAGGTTCAGATAGGCCACGTGTGTCTGGATATTGTGTCTGTCATCTGCTCTGACTTTTGGGAAGTTCTTGAGCTGAGGTTTGGGTTCAGATCGCAGTGTTTCCATGAAGGGAGTCATCCACTGATAACACTGAGACACACTATCCCATGTGAGACCTGAGACAAAAACAAGTTAACGATTGTGAGTGAAGTTATAAAACAAAGAATCCCACCAACAAATAGAGTCAAAAAAAAAAAAAAAATAGAAATTAAATCTGATGATGTGAATGGGGAAACTCACCTGAGACTTTATGAACAACGTCAAAGGTGGAAAAGTGGCAGAAGGCAGCTGCGGCAAGAACGCTGTAGTTATAGTCGAGCGCGGTGATGTCCATCATACACAAGTCCAACAGCTGCAACATGCAGGTCAAAGATCAGTATAATACTGAATCAGAAAGTGTTTGCATCATTTTTTTAATTCAAACAGATGAATAAACAAGGATAAACAGAAAAAGAGGATTTAAATAAATGTAGCAGCTGTTGAAAGTACCTGTGTGATCTGGATGTAGGTTTCCTGGGAGAACTGCGGCTCCAGGAAGTTCACTCCATTTTTCTGGGCTTCAACCTGAGTGTACAGCTTCAACCAGGAGATGGGGGTCTCAGGACAAAGGTTCCAGTCTAACGCCTATGGGACAGCAACACGGAGGTCAACACAGAAACTTTGATTGCTACCACTCAATATTACAAGATTAGATTAGAAAGTGAAGTAGATGAGCTTGCGTACCTTTAATATCTGAAGCTCTGTGCGCTGGATGTCCCACTGGTCGCAGGCACCGTCTGTGACATAGGCAAACTCGTAGGTTTTAGGAGGGTAGATTTCCTGATGAGAAAGAAGGGGCAAAGTTGGTTATTGAGATTAAACGTCATCAGCACAAACAGAGGTTTGACTATCAGAAATATCTGACTCTATAAGAATTAAGACACTCACCTCTATCTTGGAGGCTATGAAGAGCGCCGTGATGCCGATGAGTTGCAGGTAGTCTTTGTTGATATTCTCCTGAGTGAGCATGAAGCGGTCAAAGTAGTCCTGGGCAAGGTACGCTGTCTGTCTGTGAAGGCTGTACACCTCACTCACCTGCCGAGGCAATCGGACATAAAGGCTGAGTCTTTGTCCAAAACCAGAACAGTCGAATTTCTGCACATTAAAGATTTTCACGCTCACCTCAAGCAGCCAGTCCAGGAGAATTGCCCTCATCTTGGGCTGCAGTTTAGGATGCCGCTCCAGGTAGCTCTTGTCATGAACATACTTCAGCTCCTTGTTAAGCATTTTGATCCACACATCGTCCGAACTAGCCCAACTGGAAGAGAAATGGCAAGTTTTAACCATTTATGCTGGTCAATAAGTACATGTAACAGTGATGCTAACAACTGACTACAGACTGGACAAAATCTGAGAGGTGAATTAACGAGTTCTGCAGACAAAGCAAGTAACAGGATACATCTGAAACTTGATTTTTTACTTGCAAAGTGACTTTGACTGTAATTGAGGGCCTTGAACCCTAAATACCAGGTGGGGTGGAGCAACATCTCCAACAACAATAGCGCTGTGGAGTATTAAGTGTTGCGCTACGACCTCCCTATTGAGGTGTAAAAGCTACACTTACCTGAGATGAGGAATGGGCGAAGCCTTGATGAAGAGGTTCTTGAATGTGTATTGTTTGAAGTTGGACGGGTTTGCTGGTTTTAGCTCTTTGTGGGGAGTTTCTATGAGAATGCACGGAGACGCACCATCCTCTGACCAACACTTCTGGAAAGAAAGAATAAAACTTGAATTTAAAAGAGGAGACGGAAACTCCCAGACCTGACTGTTGGTCAAGCAGATGTATTAACATACTAAAAGGGATTAATCTGGCACATCCCATTGCTCTGAACAAATCAAAGTTACTCAACATTGTGACTTCACCTAGTCACAATGTTAAATTTGCAAAATGTATGATTTTCTGTGGAATTGGTGGCTGCATTTCTGTCATTTTTGACACTGCCTACATACTAAGTGTCATCTCATCTACAGCAGGACTCTACGTTACACCACCACTGTGAAGTTCAGTTTCATATCATGCTAAACAGCGACACCTGCTGTTGAATAAAAGGTAGTGCATGGCTACGACTAGAAATTTACTACTGAAACCTTTTCACCTACTCCTATAATATGATCTTATCCAGATACAAATCTGCTAGAAATAAGTCACTTAGGACCATGTATCAAGTCATGAGAGAAAATAGTTAAATAAAATATTTTAATTAAATAAAAAGGAAACAATGCAAACAAAGCCCATTTTCGACTACAGGCACCCATTCTATCTATAAATACAGAGACCATTTACTATAAAGCTTTACTATGTAGTAAATGGTGGAAATTAAATTAATTTCCTTATAAAAAAAAAAAAGTTGGGCTGACACACACACACACACACACACACACACACACACACACACACACAGGATAGTCAGACAGATAAAAAAGTAGCAACACAGACACACTGGGCTGAGCTCTTATCAGTAACAAACACAGTCATTAAGCATCAATATCATTTGGGCAGTACTAACTTGTATTTCATAGCTTTGTTTCTTGGCAGCGGGTTGTAGTTTCTTCTTAGAACACTAAACAAGAAAAGACAGAAACATGTGCCTTTGAGCTAAAAACAGGACAAAGCTGAGACAAACACTGATAAACTGAAACACAGGATTGCAGCTAGTAACAGAAACAAACCTCAGTCTTTCTTTTCCTCAGCGTGACGGTGCTATTTGGATCTCTGGCTTGAAGAGTGATGCGATCACTGAAATTAAAATTAAATAAGAATGGTCAAATAAGAATCTGCCTCTTGCTCACTGAAATATTAATCGAATTAATCTGCAATTAGAGCCAACTTTAAAAAAAATAAATATTGGTGATCAACTTAAACACCAGTATTGATGGAAATAATGACTGGGCCACAGTGACAAAAGCAATCAGCAAGGCAACTGTATTAGGAGTTTCGCCCATTTAAAGAAAGGGGTGATTACCGCTTGATGAATTTAAAGCTTTTACATTTGAGTGACTGGCCATCTTATCTTACTACATGTGATTGTGAACTGGTGACAAGTACAAAAATGTATGACATCACTGTAGGCTCTAAAACCTAATCACATTTACAACAGACTATGCCTTTCAGCAATCAAAACATTAAAAGCAACAGTGAACAGACAATGTGATCCAATCTAACTGTACAAACATCTATTAGTTTTCACCTCCAGTCACTCATCTCTGCTTAATTTGAACAATGGTGTCATTAAAGTCTCCTGATGTATAAACATCTGGAGTTTGATCTCTGAGGACCAGTTTATGCACATTTAGAAATGTGCTTAATAGATTTGCTGTAGGGTAGTGGCTCCACTTCACCTTCGGGCCCCCAGTTTCAGAACAATCACCAAGAGGTGCTCACCTGCGCCTGGACATGGTGCTGACTGTATTGTATGGCTCCGCTGTAAAGAAGAAAAGGAGAGATTATGTTAAATTCAATATTAACACTGAACAGAGATATTAAAACAAAAAAAACCCCCAAACACTTGGGACAAATAATTCAAATTCTCGTGGAAGTTTTCAAGAGTTAAGTGGGCCCTTTCTGAAGAAAATGCCCCCCCCAATGCAACTAGGCATCTGGTTTAATGCTATAGGATCATATACAACCAAAAAAAACAGTTTAAAAGTGAATGATCCACAGCTGGATCCTAATACGCTCAACAACCTCAGATATAATAAGACATCCCTTTGTAGGATTACTTCTAACCTGCTTACAAGTGATGGTTAGCTTATAATAACAGTGTTAGCTTGTGGCCACCATTTTAGGAGCCACGGAGATTCGATAAAAACCGAGAACGGGGAATTAACAATGCCGACAGACTGCATATAAGGACTACCAAGTGTCTCATTTCAGAGTAAAAATGTAAAACTGATTAAAAACGTGATAAATACAGAGCCAAAGCAGCCAGGCAGGACCTGTAAGCTAGTGTGGTATCTGCAGCCAGAAAAGAGGGGGGCTGGTTTTTCCCTCGATTTTGAACAAAAAAAGCGGAGAAATCCCGCAATTTATATCAAATTTACCACTTTCAGCGTCACAATATACATCTCCAAACATCTTTGGTGTATTTAGAATGAGTGAAATCGACAAAATACTAACTTTAATTCGGGGTTGAAACTCAAAGACGCGCCAATTTCCGCAGCGTAGAAGCGGGAGGATTTGAGCCCTACCTCCCCGAAACTGCTCCAAGCCTGCCGGGTTAAAATAGCCAAAAAGACCGCTTAACATAAACGATATATAATTTAAAGCCACCTGGGCACCTAAAACAAACCCTTATGAAGCACATTTGTCAACAAGAGGATTTTTAAGCGCAACAAAGTAGGAGAAACTGAGACCGACCTCAGGCCAAAGATACAGAGGGGAGCTACTGTAATTAGCAAACTTAGCTCGGTAACTCCTAACTAGGTCAACAATAACCAGCTAACCCCGATGTGTACTTAAACTGGGCATCTACAGCTTTTGCATGCAAACGCATTAATAAATGCTTGGTTTAAGGAAACGTGCACAAATGACAAAGACAACGTGAGGACGTAATTTTGTACAAAGTTTTAAAGCTACACGCCTCAGTATTTTAACAGAATCTCCACCAAAAGGCCAAATTCTCTCTAAATACACATCTGGCACGACATGCAAGAGCCAACTAAAGTAGAACAGACTACATCAGAGGTGGAAACAATGCCCGGGCAGTTAAAAAACAAGTAAACAACAAGAACACAAGAGAGCAGTCCCCGCTTTAGTCCGCATTTGAATCCTTTTTGCGCCAATAACGACGACTTAAATACGAAACCTAAGATGAAAACCGCAGGAAAGGTTAAGCAGCTTCGAGGCATAAAATATTAAACTATAAATATTCATATAGCTGAAGTCTCCGAGTCGGTGCTCTTACCTCCTTACTGAAGAATGAATGAGTACATCAGCTGTGGCGCCGGCGCCAATCCTTATATCCGCATCTGCCTGCCTCCTGCCAGTGCGCATGCGCGTTCCCGGTTTCACAGAAACGCGCTAAACGTTTAAATACGAATTGAGATTTGTACAAACCGGCTAAACTGGACGGTTCTAATCGGGTTATTATAACTTCGACCGCGATAAAACAGCTTATTGACAGGCTCAGGACGGAGGTAAACCGGCTGTGCTTCCAGTTTGTCTGGAGCCTCCGTTCATTTCTAAGGGACACCGAGCTGAAGTATGAATTATGCAGTAAACACCACTTTCTGTACATTCCGGTTAAACTTTAACGATTCCGTAGACACCCTTGAGTATACTAGCAATAGATATTGGTGGTAATTATTTCAATCCGTGGAGTTATTTTCGCTTTTTTACGCGGCATCGAAACTCCTTCCGCATCCGAGTCCCGCCTGTGGGAGGGAGCTCCATGACGTAGAGCCAATGAGAAGGCGAGCAGCTGCAGCCGCGTGCTCCTTCTGCAGAATGTAAACAGAGGACCACGTGCATCTGCTGTCAAAAAAGAAGTGCTGAAAAGCTGTTGCTACTTCCAACTTTTAACTACAACAATTATAATTACTTCACGAAACAATAGCAGAGCAGTTATAAGAAAGTAAATAAAATAACTTGAGATTACCAACCAGTAACGAGAAAATAAAACTGACAAAAAAGGCACCAAGCCACTACAGAGATTCCTAACAACAATAAAGTGGAGTAAAAAAACAAAAAACCCAGACAAATACTCAAAAACAAAGAGCCAAATAATTAAGAATGCCATCAGTAAAAAAATGCTAATATAAACCTCATAAATAGATAAAAAAAAAAAAGCAACTACAAATAAGTCAGAGACAAAGAGATAATATGGGAATATAGATATGTAAAACAACACCAAAGTGGATCAAAAAGATCACTGAGAGGCATAAAACAGCTGCCAATACACAGTCAACTACTACAGAGACTCCTAAAAATCACAACACTACAAAGGGCTCAAAAGAGTCTTACAAGAACAACAGAGAGACATTAAATAACCATAAGTAGACACAAAATGGCTGTAAATACACAAAACTGTTGCAAAACAACAAGCACTTTGAGAGCACAACCCTCCGGAAAGGCAGCTTCCTCTCCAGGCAGTATTTACTTTTAAGGGAATAGTATTTTTTGTACATATTCTTTGTTTTCTTTGTTGTTGTAATTTGTACGTTAAGAAGTTATTTCATTGTTATTTTCAGCATTTTAGGAGCACCTTATCTAGCACTTTATTTAGCATCGTACTTTAAGCATAGATTTGCAGAGGAAGAACATTTGAATACAAAGTTTAATTATTTATTGAATATTTATTGTGTATTTTAAAATCAGTTGGTAGCCTTTGTTCCAGGTCCTGGACAGCTGCTCCTCGTCAAGAAATGTGGTGGTTGTCTGTGAAAAGGAAAGGTTGTGATTGAGAGCAAATAAGGTTTACCAGTAAGGATAACTAATGCAAGTGTGTGTGAAAATCTAGAAATAAAGGTGGTGCAAAGAAGCAACTGTAAGACACAATTACTCACCTTTCTTTCTTGTGTCCTGTTCAGGGTGTTTGGGCAAATGTTTCCTTGGGGGTCCAGACACCATTTAAAGGTTCCGGGAGAGGCCATGGGTTAAGAGAGTGTGGCGTTTTTATAATAATGGGTTTGGTGTAAGGATAAAGTGTAAAATATGTATTCATATGAAAATGAAAAATGTATTTAGATATTTATTTATTTGAGTTGATTTATTGTATAATGTGGTGGAAGGTTGGGTTTGAGAACTCACCTGTTAATAGAATAATGGTTTAGTCTGCAACAGCTGAAAGTACTTAAGGCTGCTAGTTGCCATTAGATGGGTGGACTGTTTGGTGAGGAGAGCCGTCTGATAAAGAAATACCCCTTGTTCCACTATACTTGTCTTGGTCTGCCTCATTGTAAATCCAGCCACAAAAGGCTGCCCTGTAACAAGCAGTAAACCTCAGAGCAGGAGCAGCGGATCAGCTGATCACAGTCTGTACACTAAGAAAATCTACTAAAGCTCACAATCAAAACTATTGTGAGCTTTGAGTCTTTTCCCCACACTGAGCCACTACAACCAATTTAAGGGTTCCTCCACCTGATAAATCCACTTTAACCTTTGACTGTACTCATTTCCCTTTTTAGGTGCGGCATTAAAGTTACTCTCTACGATGTAGACAACAGAAAATAGAGCTACTTTTAAAAAATGCACTCTTTTTTTCTTTGCTCGTGTTCTACATAATTGATTCAAGCTAAATAGATTCAATAGAATTAAAATTTAGACTGAAATACTTAAAGCTCTTGGTAATATGGTCATGTAGCAGATACTTGTAACATTATTTCAAAGGTGGATACAAGCATCAGTTTGTGCATTTTGTCCGTCTGATGCCACTAGTTTGAAAAAGACCACTTGTCAGCAGCTTCTTGTTCTGAGGCAATAGTGCTAACCACTGCACTCCCTAGAATATGAAGTTATCTTCTGCACTATTATGTGTTATTTCTGGCTTTTGGTTGTTGTGTTAATAAGCAAAACTGAGGCTAAAGAAAAAGACAAAGACAAGAAAATTGTGTATGAAAACATTTATTAGAGGCTAATAAGAGATCACATGTATTAACTATTACAGTGTGAAAACAGATGACCCCACTTTTAATTAGCTTTTTTTTTGTTTCTGATGTCAGAACAGAGTGATCTGTCATACATCCAAAAGACAAAGGAAACCAGTTATGTTGATAAATAAAAAGGTAACCCTAAAAGTCCTACACCTTTTTTCTTTTTGGCAAAGTGCAGTATTATTCCAGTAAACTACACAGAAAAGCAAAAAATGACAAAACAAAACAAACAAAAACCCAAAAAGTCTAACACTTAGTGGAAAAAATGCCATAAAATATTCTTCACACTTACAAATAAAACAATAGGAGAAAAAAAGAGGTTTTGCTACATCATTCTGTCTGGTTTGTTGAGTCATTATAAAAGCTGTACAAGGACTGGGCGGATGGTGGTGGCGAGAGCATATGAGCTTCCTCGAATGATGCATAGTTGGTTTCTGATGTTTGTCTGTGTGTTTTAATTTATTATTACGTCCACTTAAAAAGTTAAACAAAAAGAAAAACGAGTTCAAGTTCTTCATTGATGCATTGTCATCATAACATTTCAACCTGGAAGGCACGTGATCCACAAATTTCAAGGCATTGAACAAAAAGCATTACAAATCCCTGTTAGATTAATGATGGAGAGATGAGCTGAGAACAGATACTTAAGAAAAAAAACAAAAGAACAAAAAAACAAATAAATCGTTTAAGGCTCCTGACAGCAGGAGGAACCTCCGATCCCTTCTGTCTTTAAGTTTCTCTTTTTCAAAAAATAAAATGACACAAAATAACATCGTTCGTGATTGCAAAACTCACTGCAGAGAGAGAGACATTCGAGAAAGGACAAGGGGAAAAAAAAGCTTGAAAACACAAGAGATCCACTCTACTACCGTTTACGATTATTTACAGCAAATAACAAAAATGCCTTACAGGGCTTTGTTAACAACGCTACCTTCCCAGAAACTCGACTAGAGACATTCAGTCAGGTTTACAAGGCGATTAGAAGACCACACTGCAACAGTTTCCATTAAAAGTGACTGAATCTTTTCTCCTCCATAATATGTGTTCGTTCCACGCTGCATCTCCGTATCTTCAGAACAGGATCGGTTTCCAAAACATCATCGTTAGGCAAATTTACAGAGTTTAGTAAGTTTCTGTTGATGTGTGTAAGGAAATGAATTTTTTTTTAAGTTGATAAATAAGCAAAATGTGAAGTTATATGTAGAGTCCTTCACCTGTTCTTAAATTATTTACGAACATTAAAATGGTTGCCGATTTCTGCCAGACAAAAAAAAAAAAGGGTTTAAAACAGAAAAAAATTAAACATTTTGGAACAAATTTTCAGTTATAAAAAGTTACAGACTGAGTCAAATTTTCTGTTTAACATCAGAAAAACATACATGCTCCAGAACTTTACTTTAAACCTGTTTACCCTATATATAGATTTAAATAGTCTTTTTTTTTGGCAGAAATGGTCTTCCATAGATTTTAGTCACTCTATAAGGTTGGTTATTTCTCAACTTTTGCAGTGTGGCGACTCGGCCTGGGCTCCACTTATCCCTACAGCAGACACATTAAACCATTAAACAGTCTACCATTTTAGAGCACCGTAACCGAGAGCTGTTATCAAACACTCAAACAATTTAAAAAAAAAGAACACCAGTATAATAAAACTATGGAGAGATTAAAGATCGCTGCTACTTTTTTTTTTTGGTTTAAATATTTAACGAAATGTAACTACGTTAACATGGAAAAGAGAACAGTTAAAATAGCATAAGGTACATTTCTAAAACCATGTTAGGTACAGTTGAGCAAAATATATAAACATAGCTGAAAAAAACCAACAGTTTCTCTCCATCTTGATGGATTTCCAACAGTCAACTGACAGTGTCAGAGTTCATTTCACAGTCCCGGAACCAAAAGACGTTTCTGTGACACTAAACAAGAAGTTGATTATTTCTCACAAAGGTTTTCACAGAGGGAAAGCACGCAGGGACATAGCTGGAAAAAGTCCGAGTACACACAAAGAATCATCAGCTGTCAAGTAAATCTGCATTTTCCTAAAGAGTAAAGGTGATTGGTTGTGACCCTGAGAAGTGGACTGCAGATTCATTTAAGAACAAAAACAAAACAGAAAAAAAGAAAGAAAATAATAATTATCCATTTTTCTTTTTTTCCCCCCACCATCATGACACTAACAAAACTCTACAACCATGCAACAGATTGCACACTATCATAACCAAACACACCTAAGCAAGAAACCATGGACGCATATATACCAACTTCATACTGATATGTAATTTGTTTTTTCTTTTCAAAAAATATTTTTGGAAGTTTTTTTTGTTTTACATATTTTTTAACATTTCTATTTATCTCAAAGCTACTGTTAAAACAAGGCGTTTAGTGATATTTAACCCAGTATTTTTTCCATTTTTTTCTTTTCTTTTTTTCTCCTTTAAAGAAATATCGTGAAAAGTACTGAATTATAAAGTCAGAGGCAGGTTCAGCTGGAGCTGCAGGATGAGCAACATGGAAGTTTTTCACCTCTGGTGGTGCTGCAGAGCTCAAAAAGCAGGAACTTAAGGAAAAATACCCTTTAAAGGCTTTAATACAGCTGTGTTTTGCTTCACTGGCTTCATTTGTGGTGTTTTCGAAGCTTTTTAATAATCAGTCAAACACACACAGCATAAGGTTGGGTGAAGGGAACGAGTTCCTTCTGCAACCAAAGTGAATCACAGAGAGAACCGTAGCACAGAAACTAGAAATCTACGTCTGAAAGTACGAGAGCAGAAAATGGACTAACAGGCAAAGCAGCTACAGTACATAGTTAGGTTTGACTCAGACGTGATTCTAATTTTGCTGAAACTCTCTGTTTTCAGTTAACACACCCTCCAGTTTCACAGGAGAACCTTTGAATGCACGTGTTTAAGTCTGGCTGAAGCGTTTAGTATTAAAACATAACAGCAGGAACCATGTTTTTTATAAAAAGAAGAGAATTTGTATTGCACTTATAAAGAGGCTCAAAATGTTGCACTTTTCTTCTGTAATAAAGATGTTATAAAGCTTTAAACTTTCACCATCAAAAAGGCGTAATTATAATAAAGTCAGCTGTAATAAAGCAGAGCTTCTGTTCCTACAGTTGTTATGGACATACCCTGTTCTCCTCTAAAATGCAGGAAGTCACTCAAGACACAAACAGAGCATTTAGTACAGATCACTGATTATAAGCACGTGAGATTACATAAAGGGAATTTTTCCTTTAAACCCACCTAAACTTCATCCTCTAGTGTGAACAGCCCTTCACTGGCAACATATTGGGAACACTGCATTGCAATACTCCTGCATTGATTAAATGAAAACGTTGTCCGGCTGCACTGTCTATGTTCAAGTCATGTAGGATCTGAAATGTCTTCTACTGCCCTCAGTCAGTCCAAAAAGTTGCCTAGATGACCAGCAGTCTCACTGTGAGACCCTGAAGTGACACCACCAGACCATCCTGCCACACAGTGAACCTGCCGCTTAGTAAAGTGACCTACAGCATTGATTCTACACATTAAGGTGACCGTAAAGAAGAAGAAGAAAGAAAAGAAAGAGAAGTCATCATGACCTCTGTTTCTCTCTGTGATTGGACGTACAATGCTCTGAAGAAATAGAAGAAGAAATGGTCTTGTGAAAAGGGAGGGGAGGGGGGGTTAACTTTATGACCTTTACATATCCCTTCTTCTCAGTATCAATACATAGGAGGATGGAGGATGGATGAAGAGGAGTAGGACGCGGGGAGTGAAGTGAGGGAGGGAGAAAAAGTCTTCACTGGCCACATTACTGATATAAAAAGTCAACAGCCACCTTCCCGATTTCACCACCCATTAAGCTTTCAGGAGAAATTAGGTGTGAGGTGTGTAAGTGGTGGCTGATGCCGTAGTTAACTTGCTGCTGGTGTTTGTTTGTTGAGAAGATGAAAGAAAACGGAGATGAATGCTTGTGGGTGGCCAGTGTTACATTCCTGTACTGCTTAAAGTATTGAGGTTGATGATGATGATGATGAAGAATAGTGATGAGGATGTCTCAGAAGTTGAGATGCCTCTGGCTGGGCTGGTGCAGGTGCATGGTGTTGGCTTTTGGGGGGCGGAGCAGGTTGAGGCGTCGCAGGGCCTTGCGGGACATGGGCTGGGTACGTTGGGTGGGGTTTCCCGGCCTTTGTTGCACAAGGCCGGCCTGAGCGGAGAGCGCTGCGGCGTAGCAGGAGGAGTGAAGACTGGCGCGCCGCTGTGAAACTGCCGCCTCTGGCCTGCAGGAGGCAGAAGTTTTCAGAAGAAGGCAGATTAGTTTTTAGCACAATGCAATAAGTAATTTAACAGCTGCTTCAGAACATGCATTGGTTTACTATTATATCCAATTATCAGGAGCATTTTTGAAGTATCTGCTACATTGTGTGCTCTTTCAGTTAGTAGATTATTTTTTATTAAAATGTCTCAAAAAGCCTGTGACTGGATAAGTTAACACTAAAAACGGCTATTGCGAAGTTGGTGCCTTTGAAGTGTTGTCCATTTGGTACTTTTGGACATATTTATAAATATGTCCAAGCTTGAAATCTATTTTCCAATGATGATGAAATTTCTGTCCATGGACAGAGCCCAGATTTTACCTGTGGCGAGAGCCATCTGGCGTTCTTCTGGCCTTTTCCTTTCCACTTGAAGCTGTCAGGCTCGCGGTCATCTCATCGGACGAAAAGTTCAATTCTGGTTCATGTGAGCTTTGTGGCAGGGGGTCAAGGTTCAGTCGTGGGATGCTGTGGTGAGTGTAGACGGACATGCTGGGGTGTTCGATTAGCAGGTTCTCCAGAGGGCTGGGCTCCAGGACGATGGGAAAGGTGCTACGCCCAGTGAAGCAGGGTGGGGGGGTAAGAAACCAGCTCTCCTGCAGAGAGCGGGTGTCCACACGCAGAAACCCACTCTCATCATCTTCCTCGTCCTCATCTGGACCACCGTCCGGGTCGGTGTCAGCCGTTGAGTTGAGGGAGGTGCAGGAGGCGTAACGGACAGGTGGGATGCCCATGGGTGAGGGGATCATCACCAGCTCATCATCTTCTTCATCCTCCTCTGCCTCCACCTCCTCGTCTTCATCTTGGATGATGGTGGATCCCGAGTGGCCATCGTTACACTGGCTGGAGCCAGCTTCAGCTAAGGGGTGAGATGAAGGTGTCATTAATGGAATGAAAATAGTACTAGAGACGCATCAGATTTTATGTCTTATGAAAAAAGTAACACCTGTATCTGAAAAGTACCAAGTCATTCCCCACATGCTCTTACAGGCAACTTTTACGGCAGAAAGAGTCATGTGAACAACCTGTTACAAAAACAGGCTTTTAAGGCTTAAACCTATTCATTATTAAGGCATGGCCGCTTTGACTGCAGCAGGTGTCTTCTACTGTGAGTCATCGAACTGCACCTCATGACAGTGTTTGTGCCTCTTTGAGCATCTTTAAAGCCATCGTCTGTCAAACAATAAGGCCTGTTTTGTATTGACCTTCCAGGAGGCGGTGGTGGTGAATGTCGTTAACTTGTAGAAGCTTGTTTCCACAACTAAAAACAGAAAAACTATTTTTTTAAAAACCCAATAAAAACATAAATCCATTTTTAAAAATAACTTTGGGTCATTATCTCAAAATTTGGACTTTGACTAACTTGAAATGTTATTTTCTCATTTTTGAGTTATTTTCACAGAAGTTTGAGGTAATAAATCAAAATTTTAAGATACCAAACTCGAAGTTTTGAAATAATAACCCAAAACTTTGGTTTATGGTTTTTTTTTTTGAGTGGTGGAAAAAGTTCGTCCCTTAAACTTAAAATACATTGGTTATACACAAACCAGTGAAAAGAGATTCAAAAATAGGCGTCCCTCTCTTTACAGCATATCTTTGTAAACATGTTCTGCGCCCTACTTTTCTAAAATGTTTCTCTATGAGGTCTCGAACCATTTGGTTTACAGACATCATAAATCCAAACTCCTTTATGCAACAGGTCATTTACTGTTCCAGCTGTTGTTTTGATTTTAAAGTAAAACGCCTGTGTAATGTCATCAGTGTACCAGCAGGCGGCGCTGTGGCTTGGCCACGCAGCAGAAGGGAACCAGCCAGATGTAAACAATAATTTTCTGGAAGCTGATCAGCCAAACAGCTGCAAGCAGGCTGACAGCCTGACAGCTCAACATTGCATGCCCAATGAACCACAGCTTGCACGCATGTTTCTGTTTGAATTTGCAAAAATGTCTGTCTGCTGTTAACCCCAGGGAGAGCAACTTAAGCTCTCTCTACAAGAAGCAGCATACACAACCACTGCTCGTTCCTTTGCACATAAATCATTGTGTGCAGCGAGCACGCATACATCCTGCCCTGCTAGCTATCTTATGCAAAACTGGAGGCTTGCCAAAAGCTGCGGGTCGGGCTCTTGTTTTGATCCAGCCACAGCTTCTAATGATTCACAGAGAAACAGGAAGTTGTGAGGTGGAAGGCCAACATGATCTCAAGCTTGCAGACTGGATGTTAAAAATAACTTTGTGTCAACACAGCAGACATCTCTGCTTGTTTTCAGTTTTCTTTAAGGATGGGGCCTTACTTTTGTAAAGAACATGATTATTAGAATGTTTTAGTGGTCATCAAACACACAGGAGGAAGATAAAGGTTTTTCGACCTCCACCCTTCTCCTCTGACCTCAGTGCTCTCACCCGTTTACTGTGAGAGCAATGTTTGAAGCTCAATTTCTAGACGTGACATTAACACCGCCCTGTGGCTCTGACTCCCTGGAGTTCACAGAGGAGTCCTTGTTTACCCACAACAGGCCAGAGAGGTTGCAGGGTGCTGACTCAGTTCGCAGCAGCTGATCTTCTCACTTTATCCTCTCAGCAGCAGTGGGACAGCTCCCACTGTCCGAGCCCCATCAGCTGCTGATCTCTTCCTGCGGAGGCTGCAGGCGTTTGCAAACACAGCAGCTCACGGTATGCAGTGTCAACTAGACAACAGGTCTCCAGCTCTAGAATGGGGTGCATGTAGTGTTTTGTACACTTGGGCTCACTGTACATTGGGTTAATGAGGTCAGTCCAGATTATGAAAGGACCAGCTGATCCCCCACATAACCCTGTCTCCTCCATGAACCACAAAGGCTCAGAGCATGCAGAGCATCAGCAGAGCAGACAGCATCACCTTTAACCAGACTTCTTCAGCTCCTGGCCTCATTCAACCACATTTGCAACGTTCAAGCCTTACTTTCTTATAACATTATTACTTCTTACTCATTTCTGACACTGTGAGGCACATTCATGAGCCTGTATTCACACTTGATAATATGCATGAGTGATGACAGGCCATAAAAACCGCTTTTTTTTTAAAATATTGCTCTTGACATGCTTATTTATGTGATAAAACCCAAACACAATTCTTTCACCACACAGATCTAAGAGCACAAATGTTTGTAATAGAATAAATAATAGGTCACCCTTAAATCAGCTCTAGCCAGAGCTGGTGAGAAACCTGACAGAAAATGTCAACAAAACATTGAGTCACAAATACACTGAGCTTCTATCAGCCTTGTACAAAACATAGCATGGTGTATCTTTGTGATGGCGCCACGGATATGATGTAGCCAGGTGTTTTTATAGTGGAGGGATGTTTGAGGAAACTTTCTGCCCATACATGTTTACCTCCTGGAAGCACTGGGACCTATTTTTACCTCATCTGGTTCTACAGACACTTTTGTTTGACCTGTTTGCAGGTTGACTTGCCCATAAACCGCCTGACATCCAACCTCTTCACCCCCTCCAGCTTGAAGTGAGTCTGACAGCCTCTCGTTCTCACCAGCCCTCGTGCCAGAAATATTCACACGGTTATGGAATTTTGGGAGGGGGGGTCAATTCAAGTTAAGACCCACTGTGGGTTAACACCAAACCAAAGCTGTGCCAAGAATCATCCAGAGCCATTTGGGAGTCACTGCAGTGTGTCATGTTTCTGCATACAGTGTGTGGGTGGGTGACTTGTTGAACTCTTCTGTGTCGTGTCGTGTCTGTTTTGACTGGAATCTTTTTATGGTCTCAGACTGCACTGGAAACTTGGCATGGTTTTTACCTGCCATTACAAAACTCTAAAGTTATACACCGTCTTTCTAGCTGGTTGCTCCATGTTGGATTAGCTCAGTAGCCTTTCCTGAACTCACAGTCTTCATCAGGGGGTGGATTTTGCTCTAATCTTCCTCAAACTGATTGACTTTTTTACTTTTGGCATATATGCATGGCATTTAACACTTGCTATGCATATATCTGAAGTGTGTGTGTGTTTCTAATTTGTTTACCTATTTAACCCAAAGTTTTCACATATGCCATATAGTGAAATGCTGGATAAAACATTTCTGCTTGAGCCCTTTGTTCCTCAGTGTCCTCCTGTTAGAGTCAGCTTTCATTTCATAGTTTAGTTTACAGTGTTTTGAGAACAAAAATGCATTGTCTGACAGCTGAACAAGTGAAGCAAGTCTCAAAGTCGTTCTAAAATCACTGCTGCGTGTCAAAATGTTTATTTACCTTCTACATTATGGTACTAATGCAAGGTGTTGGCTGATTACAGATTCTGAACCATTAACTGGTTCTTGTGAGAATCAGACTTACTCAGGTAGTTGACCAGGATCCAGTCTTCATCCTCCTCCTCTGTCTCCTCCACTTTGCCGTCCCCAGGTCTGCTGCCTCGACTCACCTCCTCCACATCGTCCCCAAAGAGAGCACTGGCGAACCTCTGGAACATCCTGAGATGTCCTGCAAGGGCGTGAGGATGAGGGAGGGGTCGGGGGAGGCGCGTGGCTCTGGGCGACGGCGGGGAGGTGTTGCGGTCGTTTTGGTCATCAGCTGCGGGGTTCACAGCAGGGGGAAGGCTCCGTAAAGGTGCTAAAGTGCATCAATAAGTTGTGGTCATAGATCATCTGAGGGCCAGCAGGCGCAGGCTGGACATCGCTCAACGTCAGGATCGCTTCAGTGAGTGCAAAAGTCTTCAAAAAAAAAGCCCTGAGAGGCAGAGAAACATGAGGATTTGGTTATAAACATTTACAGGTGCTGGTTTTACACACAAGGCCTCACATCCCCATCCCTCATTAAAGATGTTAGGACAGAGCCTGAAAACACACCAAGGCTTCCCAGAGAAATGGTTTAAACACAAACACACACACAAGAACGACTTTAATGACAAGCCTGTTAGTATTCGCCTCTAGCTGCACAAATTTCCGGGATGGATTAATTTCCTGTCAGACTTGATGGTCATGAGCAGCAGCTGCAGTTTCTTCAGTTATTGATCTGAAGGAAACGAGCGGAGAAAAAAGATGTCCTGTCTGTGTTTAATTCACGTGCAAATAAAGGATCTGCTGTGCTCAGAGGACGTACAGACACAGCTGGCTGGCAGCCTGTTTGTTGGCCTAACTACAGCCTTTCACATGAGGAAAGTAGAAAGAAATGAAAAGTCACAAGTGTCACTGTCACCCTACAGCTGCTGTGTAAATGGAACCCACTGGCACGATATTAGCAGATTGAAGCCAAGTGTACTCCTCCCCCACCCCACCTACCCCTTATTTTGGCCTTCACTCTACGAATTCAGGTTTCTGTAATATGTCCAAATGAACTCTTTTACTGTCCAACATGATAGCCCTATAGACATTACTTATGGCTAAACAAACAAACGATGGTGCAAGATGCAAATGTATCATCTATAAGACTTCCATTACATGTAAATTAGATGTAAACTGAAGAAAATGTGGCAAATATGATAAGCAATTTCATCATACTTCATGTATAGGTGTGTCAGGCAACACATGAACACTGCATTAACAGGTGCAGTAGCTCAACTGTTGTAATAACAGCCTTATCTTACATCATTCACAACCTAATCATTTGTTATGAGTAACGAGCTCTCTCAGTGGATAAGTGACATTTTAATTTCATATATCTGTTGGCACTTTTTTCTGCTTACGCAAAATGACTCACGATAAGTTATGGTTTATCCACGAACACTTAAACATCTAGTTACAATAACTGTAATCACCGGTAGGAGGCGGAAACAAAGCACGGCACTGGATAAAAACACTTAAATTCTCATCAGGAGCAAACAAGCCCAGATATCCGATTTTTTTCTCCCTACCCTTGAAGGCGCATTGCCTCTGGCTGTGTTGCGTTTAATTACCTCTCGTATTTTCCGGCACATAGCGAATAAAAAGCGCTCTTCTTTTCAAGAACAATTTAACCCCGCCTCTGTAAACATCGAACAGCTGTGAGGGACAGAAAACAGAAAACGCTTCTGACTGACTCACTGTCTCACACCGACAACAGCAGGCTGATAATCTGCAGCACCTGTTTCTCATTCCCCCTGCTCACCCTCCTGCCCCTCCTAGGGCAGGTCATTTCAGGATAGGCCTATATCATTTACACGACTTTATTCCTATTATTATAATAATAACCATACACAAAGAAAAGCTCTCCCGGGCTTGGTTAAAGCCCGGTTAATGCCTGATTAATGCTGTTAAACGGGTCACTGAACGTCAGCGCAATTGATGCATCTATTACATCAGATTGCGCTTTGTTTGGGTGTTGAGTGCGAAACGGGCTGTAAAAGAAAGATGGGCTGTTGCATGGCGTTTAAATCGGATGTCTATACAGTATGCAGTCTGCGGGATTAAGAATAAACCCATAAAGTGGGATTCAGTGGAGGATAAAATACAGATTACCCACGTTTTAGCTGGCAAACAAGAGTTAATACACAGCTAAACTCAAAGGGCGCACGCTTTTATCCTCACCTTAGATGATTTCTGTAGAAAATAGTTGAGATTGTTTGGGGAACCCATCTTATTTCGCAGCCCCCCCCCCCCCCCCCCCCCCCCCAAAAAAAAAAAAAGATTCTTATTGACTTTACGGGACAAAAGCAGCAAATAGTCATTACCGAAAGGAATACTTGACACCTCTGCTTGATAAAAGACCAATTACCGAGTTAAGTTTGTTCTCAATGGAGTGATCGAAGCGCTAATGTGATTTGGCGTCCAGACTGTGGGGGGATAAAGGCTGAAGTGATTCGGTAATAATGTGGAGCTACAGCTCCCTAAGAGTGTTGGCCGGTTTCGATGGTTATACAAGGAAAGAAGGAGGAGGAGGCTGTAATTCTACCCGCACAGTGCTGGACCGCATATTCACTTTAACTTTTATCTCCGTATGATATGATATCAAATATTTTCCCAAAATAAACTTACTCCAGTCCAAGTCGAGCAAAGGCAGAAAGCTGTGCAGAGCCACAGCAACCAAAGCCACCGGCAGAGAAAGCCGAATAAAACGCACAGTTAAGGCTTAATAATGGAGCATAGCTTCTTAATTGCTGTATATCTACCAAAACACCAAGTGCCTCTCCTGTTATGTGCATGCAATTTATATATAATACCGAAATCAGAGGCTTTGGGGCCGGGTATATTCACCGAGATGAAAACAAAGAGCTCACCTGCGGCAGAAGGAGGAGGAGGTGTAAACGAGTCCAAACCGTGATTAAAATCCTTAAAAATGAGGTAGATGCGTTACTTTTCGAAAAATAGAAAAACTTGAGGTTTCTTCGCGGAAGAAATAAAATATAAAAACGTTACTTTAAGGACTGCACATCAGGAGTCACAGTGCGGCGTTTCTTTTCAGTCCCGTTTCCTCCTCGAGCCCCCGACTGCGCCTTCTTTTGTTGTTGTTGTGGAGCTCAACAGCTGATCGGCCGTGACGTCGTTAAGGACCACCTCTCTGCGGGAGGAGCCAACCGGAGCCCTCGAGGGGCCAATCAAATGCGCGTTAAGGGCAGTCACTAACCCACGTGACTCCCTCCTCCCTCTCCTAAGGAAAAAGAAAGGGACATGACTGGACAAAGCGCTCAGCTGAGCAAGACTATAGTGTGTTTCTTTCCCCCAAAATAAGTTAATGTTACATAACAGAGCAGATATCCGGGTCCAGCCGCTGGGTTTCCTGTTTTCTAACCGTTCAAACACCCCCTTAGAGTCATCAGATTTACAATTTTATTAAAATACGATTACACAGCGAGGTTTGAATAAAGTTTTCATCATTTACTTTAGAGTTAAGAATGATTTCATTAGTTTTGACATTTAGACATAAATAGAGCATATTACACAAGTTTTGGGGCTTTTTGTAAGTAATATGAGTATCTGTGACGTTTACAGTAGAGTAACTGTTTTTGCTTTAAGATTAAGAAAAAAAATGCTACAGCAGCACTTAATATTTAACAGTTTAAAAGCCAAAAACGGTTGACGTGCTTCCACATTATATTTGTCCCCTTCCAGTTTCAGCATAAAAGAAATGCAAAAATCCAGTAAAGATCAGTGTTGTGCTCAGCAGTCTCAATCCTCAGAAATGCAAAATGAGAAAATGCAGCCCTCCCCCATGTTTCACACTTCATCCTCTTATCACCCTCCCTGCACCCAACCGAAGAGGTGGAGGAAGGGCCATCAGTTCCAAATAAAAGGCCTTAAAGATACACTTGGATATCTTTACTGGTCTTTAGCTACAGCTGTAAAGTCGATACTCTTATGTTCAAACTGCACACTATGTTTTATTCTAGGCTTGGTAATAACAGATACTATGAACAACAACCAACAGTTGTTGGATTTAGACATGTCAAGAGTACATGGTATGCTGGATTTGTCTTCATGTTTAGATGAATGAAATTCTTCAGTGTGGCCTGCACTGTACTGTTTTCCATTTAAACTGAAAACTTTCCCACTGATTCACTGACCCGTTTTTACAGAGAGCAGCAGCCCGATAAACATAATGTCGCCATTCTAATAACGGTTTTATTAACAGTTAACGTTTAACTAATTTACTCGTGCTGTATTAACCTTTAAAACTGGATTAATACCACTCTTTCTGAACAGCTGTCATAGGTATCCACTGCAGTTTCCAAGACACCACATCAAGTATCAGGGAATCAGATGAGTTTTATATTAACATGAATTTAGTAAGAAGGACAAATATGCTGCACCTCTTCCTAATTTTCACTATTTATAAGCTTCTGACTCGCATGCTTGGCTCCAAATTCAAAATCATGTTAACAGGATGGAGATAACATCAGTTTTGGGTTTTTTTGGTCAGCAGCAGGCTTAATAGGATCCACCTTCGGAAGGGTGGAAGTAGGAAACCTAGCCTTCACCCCTTCCCCTTTTTAAAAATCTCATCCTCCCGTTGCCCTGCACACGACCCACACTGTGGAGGAAGGGCCATCAGGCCAGACAAAAGGCCTCGAGGAAGTTGTGTTATTCTTCATCTCGAACCGCCAGTATGTTCTGTTCTTTATCTCCAGCTATAAAGTTGTTTTATGAAGGTGTTATGGTGTTCAAAGTACTGACAATTTTTTTCTCATAAATGCTAGTATACATAAGGTGAACATAAACATGTAGGTCTAACTGTATAACACGCTATAATGCAATTGTAGATAAGATAAAAGTGGTCTGTCAACTAGTATTTTCTATTGTGGACACCAGCAAGTGCAGGTAGCTTTATAAACAGATAATCAGTGGAAAGTACTCGCTTTTAAAAATGTCCTCATATTAGTACATTATGGGATATTGCTCACATCAATTGTCACGGTGGTCATAAATGCCAACGATAGGGACACGAGGGCTTTTTTAGAGCAGGACATTTAAAAAACATAATGATGAAAACAATACCACGAATGAAGACAATGATTCTCTTTTAAAAGAACTTTGTTCACAACTTGAGGGGCATTGTGTGCTGACCTTCAACCTCTTAAAGGCAGGTGATATTTCTTTTAGTACACTTTAACATAGTACACTATGTATACTTCACTCCTGCTTGATCAGTGTTTGTTTTTTAACAGAATTGGAACACAACATGTTCCCTTTTATCAGAAATGATTACAGGCATTTTGATGGTGACTGTATTTCTTTGTACAATGATTGTAGTACTTTAGATAATGTAGACAAAACAACTTGTCATTCCTTTCGAACACGTATAATACTTAAATTTTACATGTGGAATAAAAACACTTAATACGCATAAACCACGGACTGTATATAAAAGATTTACTTAGCCCTCTTGATGGTATCCATTAAGGTTTCGTAGTCATGTAACCACTAACCACTAACTAACTTTTCCTCCATTTTGGGCGTGTTGACAATTGTGGTGATAATGTAGGCTTAAGTGAATAAGGCCCAGTGTCACAGGCCTAGAGACATGTCCAAAGCCATCTGACAAACACTGAGAAATCACCGTCTGCTTGGCAAAAACCTCCTTGTGATTGCGTTGGTTAACAGCAGATTGCCCCAGTCACCTTTAGTTTGCGTGAAATACAGCGACTTCTTTATAAACACTCACCAGCTACTCTGTGAGCTGTAATGAAGGAATGAAAGCAGGTAGCAGGCTGTAAACATCCTTATTAATTGTATTACGTTGAGTATTTTAATACGTAACTCTATGGGGATTGATTCATTCTTGTAGCCAGCCTCAGCTGGCTGTGAGAGCAACTGGACTTGTGTTGGCTGTGGTTTGGCACAAATATCAAATAAGACTACAACACATGGCGCTGTTAGGTAGTTTGATAGCATTAGTGCCACCTAATTAACTGAAAATGTATTCCTCCCGGTCGGTGGTACCTCCACATAGCCAGTGTTGACTTTAACTCAGAAGTCGGATATCAGAACTCAGAATGACATCACTTTTGAGTTGAGTGCATTCCAGATGTAAAGTCAGAAAAACAATGAAAAACAGGATTCATTTTGCTTCTTAGCATAATAGAAAAGTGTGTGTATCGCTAGCAATGCAGCACAATGCTTGTTTTTTTGCTCTGCAGGACATTCATGGATAAAGCCTGATCAGTGGTCTACGCATAGCGTATTTAGCGAGTCAAAAAAACACAACAGTGGCAGCACAGATTTAAAGTTCACAGCTTTACTTCTGTTTACCTTCAATCCTGCCATATTGGATTGTTAACTCGTTAACTAATAGTTTTTACCATTATTAGTACACAGCCCAGGTGCTAATAGTGCACTTTGGAACACTCAAAATAGCAAATATTGAAGTATGCAACTTGACATACAGCACGAGGCTCACTGCAGTCTTTATGTTTCCCTTTGAAATGTCCCATTAAATTTTTACCTTTTAGTATTTTCCTTCCAATCCATATGTTATATTTTCAAATCTTTTTACTAAATATTTACACTTGATGTTCATGCTTTTGTTTTTGAGGTTTTTGTAATATTGACTAGCTTAAGTTTCTCTCTTTTGTTCTCCCTCCAGCTGCTTTCTCTATTTTTCCTCCAAATGTGGAAAGTTTGAGTTTCAAAGTTGACTCATTGACTGTTAGATGTTACAGGGTTGGAATGCTACTGAGTATATTTACTCTTCTTACGTAATTTTAGACTGTTGTTCTTCACATATTTCTTCTACATTTCAGAACCCAACATGACACTCTTTAACTTTATTGAACACATCTGGCTACTTAGAATTCTTTAAAACCATGGAGTTTAATCAACTTGTGAAACACACAAGGGATCACTGGTTGTGCTGTCACTTTGTGCAGTCTTTTTGGATGTATTTTGAGTATATTGTGTTTTCCCTAATCTTGCTTTGTCTACCTGGCATTCTTCTTTTTCTTCTCCCTGTAGCTGTTTTCTATCTTTTTTTGTATGTCACTCATCCTTTGTGTGGCTTTGTGCGTCCCTTTGAGTGCTTTTTGTCTGTTTGAGCTTGTTTTGTGAGTTTTTGTCATTATTTTTTGCGATTTGGCAGTGGCTTATGGGTCACTGAGGTTGTTTTGCTCCCTGTTGGGATCACTGTGTCTCCTTGTGGTCATTTTGTGCATCTTTGTGCAATTTTAGTTAGTTTTGAACTCTTTATAGTCAAATTGTAGCTCTCCGGATGAGTTACTTTTCAATAACAATTGTTAGGACTCACTTTAAGTGGACTCTCTGGTCCAGAGCCACCAATCCTGGCAGTATGCCTGACTTTTCTACAGCCGTCAGCATCCACACAGAAGAAATGTGATTGGTTCAAGCAAACAGAACAGAAATTCCAGTGGAACATCCATGTCGAAAAAACATACAGGGACGCAGAACATAGGACCAACGTGTTAGCCTATCATGTTTTTCCATTTCCCAAAACACAAGGACGCACCTGTACCACTCTGACAACACAACGCTGATAAGATGTCCTCAACTGCTCTGTTTTATTTTTCTTTCTGAACTATTACATCACAGCTGCTGCATCCTCCCAATATAACGTCCATAATGCTAACTTGCATCATAAAACTAGAAGCATTCTTGGTATTGAAAGGACAGACAAAACAAATGTAGTGACATCAACCTGTTACATGATTGTTAAATAAATACATTACAATGTTTGACTTGACTGAAACAATAGCATTATCTTTCTTTAATTTCTAAGTCTTATTGCTGTTTTCAACAGAACTCGGTGCCACAGAGTTTTATTGTTGTTGTGTAGAAACTCTTAATCAGTAAGCTATTCTGTGTGACTTGTTCCTTCATTATCACGAAAACACACACACAGTTGACTTGACCACATACTCGATTCCCTGCTACCCCAAAAACACATACCAGAGGACCAAATTTTCTAAAAGCAGTTCCAAAAAATATGCTCTAAACTCTTCTATAATGACAAGCTTGTTTGGGAAGTTCCCGAGTCTTTTTTGAATTAAACCTCAACACTTGAGAGGTAGTGAG